TTTCACTATTAGTTCAATTTCTTCAATAGTGTTACACATTTATCTATTTTTTCTTGAATGAGCTTTGTTATTTAGTGATTTTCAAGGAATTTGTCTTTTCCATCTAAATTCTCAAATTTACTGGCATAAAATTGTTCATAGCATTCTCCTATTACCCTTTTAATGTCTGTAGAATTTGTAATGTACCACCTCTTAATGTTATGATATTATAATTTGTGTCTTCTCTCTTCATCTTAAAGAACCGGCTTTTATTTTTATAAATTTTCTCTTTCCATTTTCTTTTTTATTGATTTCTGCTCAGACCCTTATTTTTTCTCCTTATTTTGGGTTTCATTTGCTCTTCTCTTTCTACTTTAAAAATTTTTTTTAATGTTTTATTTATTCCTGCAAGAGAAAGAGAGCAAGAGAGACAGCATTAATAGGGGAGGATCAGAGAGAGCAGGGAGATACAGTATCTGAAACAAGTTCTGAGCTAGCTAGCCATCAGCACAGAGCCCAACACGGGCTTGAACCCGTGAACCGTGAGATCATGACCTGAGCCAAAGTCGGACGCTTAACCGCTTAACCAACTGAGACACCATGGTGCCCCTCTTTCTACTTTCTTAAGGTAGAAGCTGATGTCATTGTTTTGAGAACTTTTCTAATATATGTGCCTTGTGTTATATTTTTTTCCCTGAGCACTACCTTAGCAATATCTGACCAAATTTGATATATTGTGCTTTTATTATCATTTAGTTAAAAACACTTTTTCATTTCCCTTTTCATTTTTTTCCTTGACCCATGAGTTATTTAGAGGTGTGTTATATAGTTTTCACATATTTAGGGATATTCCAGTGGTCTTTCTGTTATTGGATTTGATGTAATTCCGTTGTGGTTAGAGCACATACTTCCTATGACTTCAGTCCTTTAAAATTTAGTGAAAGCCACTTTATAGACCAGGGTATTGACCATCTTGGTAAATATTCCATATGCACTTGAAAAGAAAGTATATTAAGCTTTGGTTGAGTATTCTATAAATGTCAATTAGGTCAAGGTGGTTGATAGTGTTCATGTCTTCTGTAAATTTACTGATTTCAGTCTACTTGTTTTGTTAATTGTTGATAGAGGGATATTGAAATCTTTGAATATGATTGTGGATTTGTCTATTTCTCCTTAAAGTTCTATCAGTTTTCACTTCATGTGTTTTAAAGCCTTGTTATTAGGTGCAGAAGTATTTAGGACTTATTATTATCTTATTGATGATTGATCACTATGAATTACTTTCTTTATTCTCACTAATATTCTTTGTTCTAGAATCAACCTTGCTTAATATTAATATGCAGCTTTCTCTTGACTAGTATTAACATAGTATATATTTTGCTAACCTTTTACTTTTAACCTATTTGTGTCATAATGTTTATACTTTTTATAGACAGCATAGAGTTGGGTTTCCTCAACTTGGAGAGTCTGCCAAGCCCTGCCTGGATTTCCCCTTCCTGTGTCATGGCCTAAAAGCTCTTTAGGCAATAATAAGGCTCGTTTTATTTGTTTTCCATCTGTCAGGAGCACACTTTGGGCTAGAGTGAGGTAAGTAAGGTCCCTGGGGTGCAAAATTTAAGAAAGTAATTGCTCTCTAATGCAGTTTTCAGAATAGATTTCTCTTTAAATATTGTACCTTAGGTGCCTCATCCTTCAGAAGACACTCACTTTTGGGAAGCCTGGGTGGCTCCGTTGGTTAAGTGTCAGACTTCACCTCAGGTCTTGATGTCATGGCTTGTGAGTTCGAGCCTCACATCAGGCTCTGTGCTGACAGCTCAGAGCCTGGAACCTGCTTCAGATTCTGTGTCTCCATCTCTCTGTCTGCCCTTCCCGTGTTTGTACTTTGTCTCTCTGTCTCTCAAAAATAAGTAAGCATTAATTTTTTAAAAAACAATCGAGCACTCACTTTCAGAGTTGTGCAAGTACAAGGCTAGTACCTGAGAGTAAATGCCTCTTTTAATTTTGCACTTTAGTGGCCTCATTCAGCTCACCCTAACCTGGCCATGCTGAAGGATCACTGCCTTTCATTGCCTGATGTCTGGTGTCTTAGAAAAAATTTTCAAAAATATATTCTGTTTGGATTTTTAAAATTATTTCAGCTGGGAGAGTAAATCCAGTCCCTGTTATTCCATCTTTTCTGGAAATGGAAATCTGATCTTGTTCTTTAGGAGTTAAAAATCCCACATAGAGAGCTATCTGATTGAAATACAAATGTTTTTAGGCCTTCCTGCAAAGGATTCAGGAAAAAATTAGTTTTCCTTAATTCAACAATCAATGAACACCTACTGTATACCAAATTCTAGGTTAGGAGCTAGGGTTAAAATCACATAAGACACGGTGCCTATCTGCTAGTTGTTCATAGCTGGCTGCTTTAGAACTATTGGATTGGTTCTCTCATGCCATGCAACACCTGTGACATGGGTCAGGGAAGGCAGAGAGCCAGAGACAGTGAGGCCTAGAACTGAGGGATCATCTCTACTAATTGTCAGGCCCAGAGTGGCTCAAGGGCTTACTTAACTCACATAAGTAGTCAGTAGTAGTTGATTATTATGTTGTCCATTTTGAGGGATATGGAGGAGGGATCAACCCTAAATACCTTCCTTTACCACCAGTTACCATGACTGAATTCCCACTATTTGAGACTCATTCATTAACAGCAGGGACCATGTCTTATTCATGTTTGCATTTTTCGGTGTTAGCTCAGAGCTTGCTACAGGGTAATTGATAAATGAGAATGAATGAATGAATGAATGAATGAATGAATGATAAATATTAAAATGATGACTATGCCTCTGGGAGGTGACTTAGGTTATTATCTACTGGGGATAAGTAGGCCATTAAGAGCAAGCCCATAGCTTGGACCCATGATAGGAAGGCAATGTGGTACATTGAGTCTCTAACTATGCTAGACCTTGATCCAAGTTGCTTAACCTTTCCCAAACTTAGTTTCCTCACCTGTATGATGGGAATCCTAATCATATTTACTTAACAGAGGGATCAGGTTCCATTAGGATGAAGTATGTTAGGGGGCTGGCAAGAGAAAACTCTCAAGAAAGAACAGGTATTATTAGTCCAGTCTTCTGGGAACAGCAGGAGGGAATAAGGTTAGGAGCTACTGGATGGCAGAGACCTTGAGACGGTCCCGGCTGGGCAGCAGGAAGACACAGACTGTTTTGCTTATGTTGTACACTTACAGAAGCTCAGATGTTACCACTATTATTATCCAGAAGTCCTTCCTAAGCTCAGTGTTGTGCATAGATATTTTGGGCAATGCACATAAGCCATATAGAAACAGCCCTGCTCTCTTGGGACTTATAACCAAGGTTGTTAGTTCCCTCTTGGGAAGACAGAATAAAAATGTTAAATCTGTCTATGATTAGGTGACCATGAGTTCACACTATGTAAGAATGAAGAGAGAGACTCAATTCCTGAGTGAAGGGCTAGTCAAAGGGATCAGAGGGAGCCCATTGTCCAGTCCAAGTGGAATGAGAAGGTCAAGTCTACTGTACTTTGTCCAGGCTCTGTTACATAGGGTACATTCCTGAAGCCAGAGGTAGACTTCCAGCTCTGGGCCCACAGCTCTTGACACATCTGAGATAGGTAGATGGAAAATGTTGACCCAAATTGTAGATTACTTTGGAGTTATGGTGTAGCCGAGCCAGACCCCTGGGCTCTGAGAATCAGACAAACCCATCTGGTGATACTGTGGTTTTTCTCCTTTTTTCTGACCACGGTATAGGAGATATGATTTAGAAATTCACGTTGTGCCTTTCCCAAAAATGCATTCCAGTGTGCATCTGTATTTTAACATTTAAATACTATCATATATTTAAAAGTTTGGACCTAGCCTATTTCCAAAAAGTCTTAGAAAGAAAACCCCAAGGATATCACTATTTCCTTTCATCACATTGACCCATTTTTTATTAATAACAATTTATTATGTTGAAATTTCATGCACTTACAGGCAGTCAGAGGTAGAAGGGGTCTTAAAGACAAATAGGTCCAGTCTTCTCAACACACAGATGAGTAAACTGAGGCCCAGACAGGTATTGAGTTGTTCAAGGTTACTTAAGTAGCAGCAGAGTCCAGACTAGAAGCAAGCTTCTGCATAACTTCTCCCATAGCATCACATTACAATGCACACTCAGAAAAAAAACTCCATAACCGTCTTTAAAAATCTGATCAGGGCATATCATGTAATTTGTGATTTTTACGTTGGCTGGAGACAGCCTTGGGTGTCACCAAACTAGGCCTGGCAAATCCAGTAGAGTAGGAAGCTCCTTGAGGACACAGTACACTTTCCTCTATCAGCTGTACTGTGCATGCTCATGGGCCCCACAGAGATCTGCAGTATGAGCTAAGCATTACCAAGAACTTGTTGATGGTGAAGGACATAGGAGATGGTGCATCTGAGAGAGGAGAGTTCTCCACCCTTGGAAATGCTGAAAAGTCATAACAATGTAGGATTAAGGTCAAATACAAGTTTGATGAGCTTGGATTTAAATCTCAGTTTTTGCATTAACTTGCTGTGTGGCTTCGGTCAAGTCACTCAACTTCTCTGAGCATTGATAAAATGAAGGTGATAATATCTATTTCAGAGGGATGTGAGAAATGAGAAAATGTAAATAGAGACCAAGGATGGTGCCTGCCTCTCAATAAACGGTAGCTGGTCCATCAGGATCTGTTTTGTGGCTGTTAGTTTAAACAGGGAGAAATTGTTTTCAGGCATCCACTTCCCACCTCCTTTCAATCTAGAAATGTCTGTTTTCTTTTCCCTCTTCTTCTTTCTTTGATGGGCTGACTGATCTATAAGCGATCACAGCACATTTCCCCTTGCCCTTCTGCTAATGAGGAAGTGGTTGCTAAGAGAGACCGGACATGCTGGTGAGCAGTTATGGCTGCCCTCTGCTGCCCTCTCGTTCTTTCTCAGCCTCACTCCATCCACACCACACCCACTTGTCTCTCTCATCTTCCATGTTCAGGTTCTGCAAAGACTTGAAGAAATTGACAAACCCAGATGGCTACCCCTAACAGAAGAGTGGTCTCTAGACCCTGGAAACCTGGCCAGGGTCTGAAGGAGAGGGGGGTCCGCCTGCGTCTCCTGGACAACCTGGAGCATCAGGAGACCCGGGAGCTTGCGCCAGGAGAGCTGGCCATGCTGAGCAAGGCACAGGAATTCTTTGAGACCTGTGACACAGAAGGCAAGGGCTTCATCGCCAGGAAGGATATGCAGGTAAGAGGCCTGCCCACCTGAAATGCCAAATGGCATGGCTCTCCATTGCGTTAGGGCCTGCCCCACTGGGGGCAGGAAAGGCGCCTCTACTCTGCCCTGGAAGGTGTCAGCCTCAACTCTACTGGGAGTCAGATGTCCTGGGTTCATTCCTTTCCTGGCCCTTGCTTGCCATCAGACTCAGAGATTGTTTCCCCTCTCTGACTCAGTAACTGTGGAAAATGGTGATAGCAACATACAGGACTTGAATCAGACATGGTGGAGAACCTTCTGAAACAGAGTGGGAAGGCACCAGCTTGCTACTTCATAATAAAGCTTTGAGCTGTGCCGAGGTCCTCATAACTGTGTCCTGAGAGAGATAGTGCAGAACCCCAATGTACCCCATTGCCTGGTGCAAGGCTCAGCAAACTCTCTGTAAAGGGTGAGACCATAAGGATTTTAGGATCCGTGGGCTGTGTACATGATCACAACCACTCAACTCTGTGCTGCTGCACGAGCTTCCATAGGCAATATGCAAACAGGTGAGCTTGGCTTTGCTGTAATAAAACTTCTATGGACGCTGAAATTTGAATTTTATATGATTTTTGCATGTCCCCAATGAATCTTGTTTTGATTTTTTTCAACCATTTAACATCATATCACACACCCAAAATTCATATAACATGGTATGTTAATTGCCCTTGAATTAAAAAAAATAGTAAACATGTAAAAGCCACTTTTAGTTCACTAGCTGTAAAAAACAGGTGATGGGTCCAATTTGTAGCCCAGGGGTGTAGCTTTCCCACCCCTGGTCTAGTGCCTTTCTAGGATTAGTATCAGAAGCTTCTTCTGAGTGTCTTACTGAAGTCCGTTATGTTGCAGCCATGATGTCATCTGATGTGAGTAAATGGGGTGCAGACTCTACCAGAGCAAGCTGGATGCAGTTCTTCTCACCCAGCCTTTCCATTATTTGCTCTGTCAAGAACATCTTGGGGAGGGATGTATGGCCATGCTATTGCAAGGGAGTCCTGCAATGGTCAAGTTTTATTTATTTATGTATTTAATTTATTTATTTTGAGAGAGATCACAAGTGGGGGAGGGGCAGAAAAGGAGGGAGAGGAAGAGAATCCTCTCTGACAGTGTGGAGCCTAATTCGGGGCTCAATTCCACGAACTGAGATTATGATCTGAGCTGAAATCAAGAGTCAGACGCTCAACTGACTGAGCCATCGAGGCACCCTAAGTTTTCTTTTCTTTTAATTTTGCTTTTCAGAATTCAGTGAAGTTGGGCAGTGGAATGTAGACCCTGATGGGCCCAGTCCCTTCAGGGCTCACATGTGGGAGCTGCAAAGCGAGGAGCCATGTGAGCTGGGTGGTGTTTTCAGGCTTTTCCCAGAGCTCTTTCACCTTGCAGTGGATGCACAAATGGAGGGCAGAGATGTGGAGAATAGCACCAGCTTAGCCCACGAGAGATGCTCAGACCACCCTTGAAACCACCCTGAAACTCATTCCCCAAGTCTTACTCTCCATGGAAAGCTAGACTCCGTGTGCTTTGAGGAAGCTGTGTCTATGAACTTCATAACTGTCCTTCACAGGTCTGTGGTGGTGGTTGGTGGTGGTTCTAATGGCGTGCTTAACTTTTGATCGTCCCTTCTGGAAGGAAAGTAAAGGGAATTTGCATGTGCTGAGGGTCAGCTCCAGATACACAGGCATGGTGCAACTCAGCACTTTGTGTGTGTGTGTGTCCCAATTAACCCTCATTGAAGCCCATGCTTTAGTGAAGGGACAAAAAGGCATGGTGAATTTAAGCTGCAAAGTATAAGTTGTAAAAAATCATTTGTATTTGACCTGGAATGAAGTCGTAACCATCAAGTGGCAGAGATACCAACTTGGCTACATTCTTCCTCAGTCCTTGATCCCAACCAAGGCAAGAGAAAAAGGGGAAAGACATCCTACCTAGCAGATGGTTGGACATCATGGTCTTTATTTTTACCAGCTACTTTGTTTTCCGAAGCTTCAGTGTACCTGTGGACAGTGAAGCATTTGAAATTTTCAACTGTATAGGCTGAGAAAGTGCTATCAAGAAGGAACACAGCACAGTTAAGTGCTGTCTCTCTGCTGCTTTCTTGGGTCCCGTCTGGGGGAAAATGGGCTGGAAAGAGATATGTGGAGAACACACATCTCACACATCGTCAACACTGGATGCTCTGTGGAAAACCCATGTGCCCCTTGACTCTCTGGGGCAGAACCTACAGATATATGTCTGTTTCTCATCACTCCCTCACAGAGCTGCTTTGCCAGATGACCCCTTTAGTTGGTGGCCAGCTCCTTGCACTTGGCTGCCACCAACTTGCTCACCTTTGGCTCCCAGCTCAGCCTCATAGGAACTGAAAGAAGAGCTCAGATTGTGCATGCATGCGTAAATTCAGCCAACGAAAGAAGCCTTTTATAGTGGGGACTGAGGGGCATCTGTGTGGCTCAGTTGGTTAAGCCTCTGACTATTTCTGCTCAGGTCATGATCTCACAGTTCATGGGATCAAGCCCTGTGTCCGGCTCTGTCCTGACAGTGCAGAGCCTGCTTGGGATTCTCTCTCTCTTTCTGCCTCTTCCCCATATACTCTCACACTCTCTCAAAATAAATAAATAAACTTTTTTTTTTTTTTTAAAGCAGAGACTGATTGTCAAGGAAGGAGAGGCCTTGGGCACGTGGGAGGGCAGACCTAGGGGCTGGAAGAGGCGGGTAGAGAAGCAGAGTTGGAACAAGACCATGTAGGGCTTGCTGTCCTTTAGAAAAAGGAGAGAGTTAAACTCCTCCCCTGGTGCTCTTTTTCTTCTTGGTTCTGATGGACAAAAATACCATTTGCAGAGGGTGAGACGGACTTTGCATTCATCCAAGAGGCAGGGGAGACTGCTGTAGTGTCTGAGCCCCAGCAGTTTGGAGCCAGCCCACTCTGAGAGAGCAGGGACCACAGAAGGAAAGGAGCAGGGTCCAGGAGAAGTATTTTCCTTTGAGGTCCCTGGGCCTCACTGAGGGCAGGAGTGCAAGTCTTCCTATTCTGAGGCTCCACATGCAGATGTTCTACTACAGGGATGGCCAATGTTGGAATCAACCTGTGTGAACAGATTGTAAGCAGTGGTTTGAGAAACCACAGCTCCACCCATGGCCTCTCAGACCCCGTCCACTTCTCTACAAGGAATCTCTCTGGGTTCCATAGGGATTGCTCCAAGCAGAATTGGGTGAAGACTGCTTTGTAGGGCAGGGTCTGGTGCAGCCTCCTAAACAAGTAGAGTCGTGGGGCTGAGGACCCTGAGTGAAAGTCGGTTCTGCCTCATTGGGACAGAGGGACATAAGAGGGCCACACTGGAAGGGCATGAAGGGAACTCTTCAGCCCAGAGAGGGAGAGGGAGTCAGTATGGGCAGGAGAGCTATCTGAAGACACCTAGAGCCTCAAAACCCCTGCTTCCTTGATTTTTCAGAGTGAAATGATTACCTACCAACGCCAAGTACCTACCTTCCAACATTCTCTAGAGTTCCTAGACTAGCCAAACTGTTAAGAATCATCTAAGAGTTGGCAAACCAAATGTTGCCTATTTGTGTAAGTAAAGTTTTATTCAAACAGAGCTGTGCTTATTCATTTACAACTTGTCTGTGGCAGCCTTCAGGCTAGTGGCAGAGTTGACTAGCTGTGACAAAGACCAAAAGGCCTGTACAGCCTAAAATACGTATTATCTAGTCCTTTTCAGAAAAAGTTAGCCGATTCCTGGTTTAGGTTAACAAAAAGACGCTCGAAGATTTTTGTAGCATATTGAACTGAGCTTTAGCCCTGAATCTGCAACTTAGTAGCATGTGAATTTGTGTGAGCCTCTTAAACCCTCTAAGCCATAGTTCCTCATCTATGAATTATTTATAGTACTTTCCAGGGTAGGAGAAGAATTAAATGTGAGTATGCATGTAGAGCTTTTGGCCCTGAGATCGGGTCCTGGAAATCCCTCCATAAATATACGTGTGTGTGTGTGTGTGTGTGTGTGTGTGTGTGTGTGTTGGGAGCAGGAGTTAGGGGCTTGTACCCTATATGTCCTCCACACTGTGATTTTTAAAAATTGTGGCAAAATATACATAACATACAGTTTACCATCTTCACCATTTGTAAGTTTATGGCTCAATGGCCTTGAGTACCTTCGTGTTGTGCAACCATTCCCACCACCATCCTTAGATCTATTTGCATCTTCCAGAATGGAAACCCTGTACCCTTTAAACACTAACTCCCATTGCATCCTCCTCCCCAAAGCTCCTGGAAACCACCATTCTGCTTTCTGTCTCCCTGAATTTGTCTACTCTAAGTTCCTCCAATCAGTGGATCACAAGTGGCTATCTTTTTATGACTGGTTTATTTCACTTGGTATGGTATCTTCAAGGTTCATCTGTGTTGTACCGGGTGTCAGAATTTTCTTCCTTTTCAAGGTTGGATAATATTTCACCATACCTGTGCACTACATGTTGTTTATCCATTCATCGATCAGTGGACACCTGGGTTACTTTGCACCCCCATATGAGACTAATGCTGCTGTGAACAGGGTGTACAAATACTCTTCCAGTCCTTGCTTTCAATTCTCTTGGGTAGATACTCAGAAGTAAATTGCCGGATCATATGGTAATTCTGTTTCTGACTTTTCTGAGGAACCACAATACTATTTTCCATAACAACCATACCTTCATACTATGATTTTAAGTGCAAGTCATCTGTCCTTCCTCAGAGATAAAGAAAAGGCATGCCTGCTAAAGAGAGAGCCCTCCACTCATATCCAGCTGGTGCTATTGTTGTGTGTGTCCAGTCTGCATGAGTGGGGCAATTTTGCTTCTTAGAGAACATTTGGTGATGTCTGGAAACATTTTAAATTGAAACAACTAGAGGCAGGGATGCTATTGGCATCTACTAGGTATTGTCAGGGATGCTGCTGTATATCCTATAATGCACAAGATGGTGCCCTCTTGGTCCCCCAACAAAGAATTAACCATGCCACGATTTCAGTAGTGCAGAGGTTGAGAAGCCCTAGGCTATACCAAACAATCAGCCCAAAATGAGCACACAAAAACATAAAGCAGAATAAAGGTAGATCTCAGATCCTCCTAAAGATATTTGGAGTGGCTGAGCTATGGCACAGAGAAGAGAGTTTTTGGTGCTGGAATAGAGGTCAGAACAGAATGCTGTAGAAGCCCCAGAAGGAGGGAGACTTTAATTCTGACCATAAAGGTGGATCTTTTCTAGTTTTCTCTTTAATAAGTTTTCCTTAGACATGTTTGAAGCTGTGCACCCATTCATTTTAAGCTGTGTGAGGCATGTTACTGGTCTGGTGACCAGGTAGGTAGAGGGGTCTGTCTAGAGTGTAGCAGAAGATGGCATTTTCCCATGGTTTTGGGAGCCCTAGCCCTCAACACTACTGCTAGAGGATTGCTTCCTATTCCTGGTCCTAGAAAATGTCCAGTTTGTAAGACCTTGCTGAGAATCTGCAGTAGTGCTGGTCAGGATTGGGAGCATGAGAGGTCCAGATCAATGCTCCCTTGACAGGAGTTGAGAATCTCCTGCCATCACTCTTAGCTATTCATTCATTCAGTCCCATGCTGAATATTCTATATTGGTCAACATGGGACTAGCTGGGAACATGATAGTGGGTAAAAATGAACAAAATCTCTGCCTCAAATCTCCCACTCTACTGAAAGATCAGACATTCATCAACTAACTGCATCTATCAGTATACAAACTGTAAGCTGGTAAAAGAAGGAAATGTGTTCAGGGGAAGGCACAGCCTGTCCTGTCCTGAGGGCTGCAGAGCCTGAATAAAGCAGGAATTCAGAGCTACCTTAAGACAGCGGAGGGAGGCCGGCTTGGGAGTGGTGGGGTTTTACAGAGCTGCAGCAGCGGCAGCATGAATTGGGTGAGCTTACTTCCTCCCCACTCCTCCTCCCTCCCCCGTCTGCCCTCCCAGATGGAAGTACACGTGAAACAGGATGTACATGTGAAACAGGATCTCTGCAAGGCTAGTATGTGATGCTGCTGGCAAGAGAGACTTTTGGTGGTAGGTGGGTAGGCAAGGCATGGTAATGCTGAGTACGGAATTCTAGAAAGAACACGGCAGAGGACCCTTTGACTGTAGCTGAAGCCCTAAATGAGAAATCAGCTCTTGAATTCCAGTGCTGGTTTCTGCTGTGATTTTGGCAAACCTAGATCCTTGCAGGCTCTCCAGTCAGTGGAATGAATAATCTTGTCCCTCTTCTCTCTACTTACCTCACTTGGCTGAAAATGTAGACGGCACCAGGTGCCCAGGAGACAAGACCAGAGTGAGTTGGTTTTACCTGGCTCTGCAGGCCCTGAGAACAAAGATACATAAGAGGTGATTATGGTGATGGAGACTAAAGAATTTTTCGGTAGGGCCAACAAAGAGAGGATCAAGAATCAGCCGTGGTGCAGCGTGCAGAGAAGGCTGAAGAAGCACTCAGTACTAATTTGCCAGGACAGGAGGAGCAAGAACTACTTAGAGGATCTAATATCACTTTCTCCAGGTTCACTGACAGCAGAAAGAGGAAGCCAGCCTGAGTTATAGACAAGAGAGGCTGGGATTAGGTGATGGAGGGATTTGTGTTAGATTCAGGAATAGAGCCTCAAGGTGGTGTGTATTCAACAGCTTTTCCCAGAAAGGTACCCATGTGTGGGGTGGTTTCAACGAAAGGCAAATTGATGGTCCCATCAATGTCGGCAGCCCCCTTGCAGCCCATCTGTAGCCCCAGCCCTGTGTGAGTTATGTCACTGATCAGATCCAGGCTGATGGTGATGGTGGGAAGGAAGGATTACCCCAAGGAGAGGGCCAGAGTCACAAGGGTTTTCACCCTACCTCCCATGTGATGCCTTTGGTTTCAAATTGGGCTAGTAAAACTTCCTGCTTGCAAAATTGACTCACTCCTCACCCCACATTCTCTTACTGTGGCTTTTGAGACAGCTGGTTTATGGATGTTGATAAGCCAGAGATTCTGCTCTATGCTGAGCAGATGCGCTTCTAGACTCTTTGCACACATGCACACTCCCCTTCCTTTCTAAAAAACTCATTCATATTTAATTCAGTTCTTCTAAATGGCTTCCACATCATCCTGTCTTTCTACTTTGTAATGCATCACAGTCTGTCTTAATGCACTACCTGCCAAATTAAACTTTATGGCTATCAGCTAGAAGATTGCCATAGGATCAAGCCAAGTGTTCTTGCAAGTTGTCTTAAGGGCTTCCACACCTGCCAGCTCGTTTTCATTGTTCAGATGGGTATATACCTTCCTTCCTACAGCCCTGTGTTCATTTTCTTCAGCTGTCAGTCACTTGCATACTGGCGATTTTGTGCAGCTGTCCCTTGGGAATGGGGGGGAAAGGGAGGAGCAGCTGGGCTATAATGAACTCCCTTGGGGAGTCCTCAGTGGGAGATTTAGATTATTGGGGTATAAGAGTACACTTGCTTCAACTATGCAAATTAGCCTTGGCCTGGGGCCACTGCACATCAGGCAGAAGGCCGGAGGGAAGCATCAGGAACACAGCCACTGCTCCTCATCCCAACATCTGGTCCCTGCCTTCCCATCTGGGGTGGCCCTAGCCAGGCCAAGACTCAGGTTCAGTACTTATATATCACTTCCTCTCACACCATCTTGTCTAGCTCTCCCTTAGAACACAAATGCTCTTGGGGGAATTGATACCTTAAGCCAGTGGCAGTTAACACCTTTTTTTGGGAATTAGTTGGCAGCCAGTAGGGAGCAGGAGTGGGGCACAGCCTGGTGTGACAGGTGGGGGTCACTTAGAAGAAGGGGGCTTATCCAGCATCCCTCTCAGAGCTAAAGGACCAAAATGTGTGTCCGCCGAAACTTACAATGTGGTGCTGGGGCCCTGGGACATGAATGGTCTCCTTCAGGAAGGCTCGTGAGGGTGTGTCCCATACCTACATCTCAGTAGAGGAGGTACCAGGGCAGAGGACAGGGGCCTGGGGAGACCAGGAAGCCCTGGGTGTGAAAGCCGACTCTGCCATTCACCTGCTGAGTGGCCATAGTGGGTCAGTGGATCCATCACTCTCATTCTCTGTCTCTGTCTCTGTCTCTCTGCCTCCTATTACCTTTTATCAGATGCGTTCTCTGGACCAGGCACTGTGCCATGTTCTTTATGTTGATGATCTCATTGAACTTAACAACACAATGTCCCATGGCTGTGATCCTCCCACAGGATTCAGTCTAGTACAGTTTTGGTCCTTTGTGGTTGTGAAGAGGGCCAGCTTTGGAGTCAGACTCAGATTTGACTCCTGGCATTGTTATTGACCAGCTACGTGACCTTCGGGCAGGTAACTTGAACCTCACACTTCATCTGTAAAATGGAGATAATAATACCCACCTAAAGGGCTGCCATGAGAATTCAGTACAAATATACATGTTTATAAAAATATTGATAAATATTTATTTATTTATTTATTTATATTTATTTATGGATTGCCTAGCAAATTGCTTTGCATGTTAGTAGGCACCCAATAAATAGTCAATGTTGTAACATTCAAAGGAGGAGAAGGATGCATGGTAAAGGGGTCTTTTGTAGGCCAGGGCCAACTCTGGACATTTCTGGCAGAAAGCTCTGCCTTCCCAAGCCAGCCCCCCATGATGGTCTGAGTGTTAACCAGTGCTGTCTGGATTGTTTTCAGAGGCTCCATGAGGAGTTACCACTTAGCCTGGAGGAACTAGAGGATGTGTTTGATGCCCTGGATGCTGATGGCAATGGCTTTCTGACGCCAGAGGAGTTCACCACTGGATTTAGTAAGTTCTGATGGATGCTGGGGTCCCAGCTACCTAAAGCTATGTAAGGTGTGTGCCTCCTCCCCCACCACATCTGTGGGTCCATGTAACAGAAGCTTCCCTGTCCTCCTGAAGTTTCCAGCCTCTAGATTATTTGGTCTTCTTTTCTAGTGTCCATACCAGCTGTTCACACCACTGTTCTCTCAGTGTCCACTGCACTGTCCCTACAAGGGAATGCAAGGGAGCTTGGGCAGAAGGCTTGGCATAAGAGGGGAGCTGAGATGATATCTCCAGCCTCTCCTATCTCCTTTCCTTTCTGTGATACCAGTGCACAACAAAATGGGATGGCTGTGTGGTTCATTTCAACCTGGGTCTGGTTGAGTCTTCCAGGGTGAGGGGAACCAGCTATCAGAGGAATTTTTTTTTTTAATTTTTTTTTAATGTTTTATTTATTTCTAGGAGAGAGAGAGAGAGAGACAGCGTGAGCAGGGGAGGGTCAGAGAGAGAGAGAGTCACAGACTGAAACAAGCTCCAGGCTCTGAGCCGGCAGTCAGCACAGAGCCCGACGCGGGGCTCGAACCCACGAACCGCGAGACCATGACCCAAGCGAAAGTCGGACGCTCAACCGACTAAGCCACCCAGGCGCCCCTCAGAGGAATTTCTAGAGGGTTTGCATAGACCAGTCATTCTCAAAGTACCCAGGAGGAAGGAGAACAGAGACTCATGAACAAGATAAAGAAACCAGATATACCATCAGATCAGATACTGATCACGTATCTATCAGAGCAGGTACTGGTTGGCAGACAGGTTTTACCACATATCTGCCTCATACGAGGTGCCATATAGTTTGTTTAGAAGTATCTCAGGCCTTTCCTGACATCTAGGAGCTTAAAACTGCCTTGGGGGCATAAGACAGATTGCTGTATATTATAGACAGTATGAGTATGGAGAAAGTACACCCAAAATTGTTATGGTGCTTGTAAATGTGAAGCTCAGTGATGTCAGTAGGAGGAATGACTCGATGATAATAAGGAGCAGTCAGGCTGCTGGAGGTGGATGGAGGGGACGCTCTTGTTTAGAGAAGAACTCAACGAAGAGATGAGCTCTAAGCCAGACTTTAAAGATTCGAGGACCACAAAGGTGCCATAGTACTGTCATCCATTCTGCCTTTCCCAGGTTCTAGCATCTCTCTCAGGATCTCACAGGAGTGGGAGAGACCCCAAATCCTGGAAATGGTGTCCAAGAATGTTTGCTTTAGGTGGTGTCCCTTTCTTTTTCCTCAGAGGAGCCTCAAATGATTCCTGACAACTAAGAATGATAAGGTCTTCCTGGGTGCATACTGCCTAACCCACATCCTTGTGCTGTGTATCCTATAGGTCGCTTCTTCTTCAGCCTGAATAAGCCAGGTCAGGAAGATGCAGGTGAACAGGTGGAAAGGCTCCATGAAGAGAAGGTGTATCAGTCCCGAGGGGAAGAGCATGCGGGCAACATGGATGAAGATGAAGAGACCCAGTTCCAAACACTGATGGACAAACTTGGAGGCCAGAAGGTTTCCGAGGAGTAAGTGATGACAGTGATTTCGGGATGGAGCCCAGCCCAGGAGCAACCCCGTCACCTGCCCCATGCAACATTAAAGTTTGTTAAGCACTCAGCCAGGCTGCACGTGCTGGGCCACCAGCTAGGAGGCTTGCTCTGTGCGCCATGGGCCAGGGGCTCTGTCTCTGGTTTTTTACACTGTCTCATGGGAAACACACCTAGGCCCCTATTCTCCCACTCTCCTCACTTCTACCGTACTTTGTCAGCACGGTCCTTGGCTCCATGAAGAGAGCTGTGCAGCACAGGGCTGTGCCAGGCATGGCAGGTGTCTCTGTGCGTTTTGCTAAGGCTCTGGTCACCACCAGCTTGCCAGTATTTCCACCTCCCCTGAAGCCAACCCTGGGTCTCAAGGGCTTCGGGGCATCCCAGCCAGGCCCATGGTGCTATGCTCCTGGCAAAGTCCCTTACATGCAGGCATTTGCACACTGTACCCCTGACCAAGCCTAAGCTGTCAGGAAGCTGAGCCGGGAAATGAACCTGTTTTTACCAGCCCACTACTTGGATAATCAGTAGCTCGGCTGCAAATTTCAGATGGCTGGAACTTCAAATAAAACATAATCCCCCGTTTTTCCCCTAAAATGCATCTAAGCCCTGGCATTTAAAATGAATGAAATGAGATGAAGATAGGATAAAATAAAATAAAATAAGGTAAAGTAAAGTAAAGTAAAATGTGATGTAGCTGGTGGAAACCAATGGCCTGAAAAATGTAGAATCCCTTTTTCTCCCTTTTCCCATTGCATTTTGCCTTTCCGTTTCTGGGTCCCCTAGGTCTTGTGTTGGGTGTGTGTTCCAGGAGTGAAAATGGCCTCGTGATTGGAACTAATGTGTCCCAAGCTTAGGAGGAGAAGGAACTGGGGTTGAGAATGATAGAGAGGAAGCAGGAAAGGAGGGGGCTGCATATAATACACAAGCCAAGAAAAGGAGGAGGGGAGGGGGGTGGATGTGGGTGAGCTGAGGCACTGTCATGAAAGAGAGGCACCTCTCCACCCACCCATCTCTTCCAGGGCAGCCCCGTTCCTGACCAGGCTCTCAAAACAGGGTCCACCCGATGTTATTCTGAGGGCCCGTGTCAGAGGCCAGTGCAGAACTGAGCCAGCATGAGGCTCAAAGGCTATGAAATCTCAAAGTTTCAACAGTGGTTGCAGAAATTGACATGCAGAAGATGGTGGCCAGTACCTTCCGTCCCCATGGAAACTAAACAAAAGGCAGAAGCCTGGTGTTGCAGCATGAGGGGGATGTCAAGACCACGGGGCCCCAGATAAGGAAACAGGAGGCTGTGAAGACGTCAGAGGTCTTCCAAGATTTCACGCACCAGAATGGCTTGTGTGTTGCACTGGAAGCAGGCAGATGGGTCAGCTGGCCTCTCAGGATCCCTTCTAGCCCTGCACCCCTGCACCCTTCCACCAGGAGCAGAAGCAGTAGGCTGGACGTCTAGACTCCCAGCGTTTCACGGTTGTTCAATTGACTGAGTGATTTGGCAGTTTATGGGCCTTGGCTTATTTTTCATCAAGCATTGACAGATTTGTTGTTTCTCCAGAAATCTGGGGAGAGGTGATGTGGCCATGACTAAGTGGTTCAAAGAGTTTTGGAAGAGGATTGGGTGGATCTGCAAATCTTACTGGAGGCTCTAGCCGATTGGCTGTCCCAGCAGGAACCTGGCAGAGGTGAACAGGCAGACCAAGGCTAACGAGGCGGACCTTGATTTTGTAGTGCATTTACTTCAGGAGGGAAGCAGCCTGCCCCAATGATGGGAGGCCATCTGAATACGAGACCCTTGTATCTCTGAACCCCTGTACCATTGTATCTACAATACAGCAAAGTAAACAGCCACAGTGTGTTCCGTGTGGGGAGAACAGAACTCATTCTGGGAAACAGGGAGGCTGTACCATCCCTTTCCTCCTTTCCCGGATCACCTCATGTCATCTCAGGGCTGGGTTCTAACAGATAAGAAGTACTTATTGGGTGATGGGTGGATGACTGGGCCAGATGAGCTGGTGGACAGTAAAGGAAGGAAGGAGGGATGACGGATGGATGACCTGATAATTAGCCAGAACTAGAGGTGTGTTCACTTCTCAGTGGGCCACCCTTCGGCTGAGTGCAGAGAGTAATATCTGTGCCCCAGGCACATGGCTAACATGTCAAATGTCACTTGTTTTTTAAACATTAAAATTTTATTTAATGTTTATTTATTTTTGAGAGAGAGGTGTGACCAGGGGAGGGGCCGAGGGAGGGGAGGACACAGAATCTGAAGCAAGCTCCAGGCTCTGAGCTGTCAGCACAGAGCCCGATGCAGGGCTCGAACTCATGAACCATGAGATCGTGACCTGAATTGAAGTCAGACATTTAACCGATTGAGCCACCCAGGTGCCCCTCCAATGTCACTTCTGAGGAAGGTTTCTCAAATATAGCACTTGTTACACAGAACAAAGGATGTTATTCTTTATATGGAGGGTTCCTGGTTGTAGCTCCCCTTGGATCACAGTGGTTTTAGAATTTAATGGGTTACAGGTCGCACTGCCATTCTGGCTCAGTTTGATGGCTGGCTGTTTCTCCGGAACAGGAGAGCATGGTCTGCAGTGTGTGCCACCGCCTCCTTCCTCCTGTCACTGATCAGTGTGGCCCTGTGTTGCTCTCCAGGGCACACCTGCCCAGTATGCCTGTTAGCCAGGGGCAGTGGGGGTGGCTCTGGACATGTAACCGTGTCTTTGTCTCTCTGCCTGTGTCCCTGTTGACTTTCTATTTGTCTTTCCCCTGTGTGCACACACATCTTGCAAATTTGCGCCTTCCCTTCCTTTCTCCTGTCACTCATTCCTGGTGCCACCAGGCCCCAGTGGGGTGCTGCGTATTCTCTTCCATTCCCCACAGTGACAATTGCTTTCTGCCATCCATCAGATGACATGTCTTTACCTCTCAGCTGTGAGGACTGTCCTTCCTGGGGCGACAGGCTCTCTCCTTTAGCTCCATGGCATTTGTCCTCACATGCACCAGACTCCTGTCCTCCCTCCACTTCCTGACATTCTGAGATGCTCCCAGCACGTGGCCTTGCATGCTCAGCACCACCAGCCCCTGGGGAAAACCAGAGCATGGACGCAGTGGGGGGTGTGGTTAAGGAGGTGAGGACAGAAGCCAGACAGCCCCAAGTTTGACTCTTTACTCTGTCATTTACCAGCTGAATGATGTGAGAGAGCTCACCTCCCCCTCTTCTGGGGGTAGTAGAGCACCAGCCTCGTAGGTTATTGGGAGGGTCAAATAGGCCGGTAAGTGTAGAGTACCTAGCATACAGGAGGCACTCAATATGTGCTAGCCACTACCGTCATGATCATGACAGCGGTGTTCTGGCTGTCAGTGTCCTCTCTGGGAAGCTCAGTGTTCACACACTCTGACATCAGTGTCCCCCTGCCTCTTGTAGTGAAAGCGATATCAAGCAAGTCTGGCTGCAGCTGAAGAAGGATGAGCCTCACTTACTGTCCAGCTTCGAGGACTTCCTGACCAGGACCTTCTCTCAGCTCCAGGAAGCTCATGAGGAGAAGAATGAACTGGAGTGCGCCCTGAAAAAGTGGGTACCCAGACTCAGCCGTTCTCTGTACCTGTGTGTGACAAACAGAAGCACAAAGTGCACTTTCTCATATTCCGTGAAGCCTGCTTGTTGCTGGCTGCCAGAGCGGGGTCTGGGCCCTATGGCGGTCATGATACATAGATAAGGTCAAGCCCTTGCTCACTTTTATCAGGCACTCAACATATGCTAGACACTATTTTAAGTATACACACTATCTCCCTTGAATGATTCACTGTATTTTTTAAAGCTCATTTATTTGTTTTGACAGAGAGAGAGCATAAGCCAGTAGGGGAAGGGCAGAGAGAGAGGGAGAGAAAATCCCAAGCAGGCTCTTCTCTGTCAGCACAGAGCCCCACGCAGGGCCTGATCCCACAAACTGTGACATCATGACCTGAGACGAAATCAAGAGTCAGATCGTTAACTCATTGAGCCACCCAGGTGCCCCCTGGACTATTCACTGTTACACTTTACAGAGAAGGAAATCGAGGTCCTGAAAGGCGAATGACATGTCCCAGGACATACAGCTTGTAAGTAACAGGGCCAGCATTCAGAGTGAGATGGCCTGGCTCCCACAGCCCGGGCCTGTCCCCCAGCTCTGGACCAGCCCTTGGTCCCGCTGAGTACCCTCCGGATCACTGTCCGGAGCATCACACCTTCACATCCCGCCTGCCACCTCCTGGCCACTGGGGCCTCTGCAGCAACTAGTGGTTTCTAGCCCCGCCCCCCCCCCCTTTGCTTGGAGGAAGCAACCCAGCAAGATGAGCTCTGAACCTGAAGCCAACCTGAGTCAGCCTTGTGCTACAGCCGTGGGGCCACATAGATGCTCGTCCACCTGTGGGAACGGTGTGCCATTGGGCTACCGTGCTTGTCCATACTCATCAAGCGTGCGCTACAGCAGTGAGCTCACATTTTGTGAAGCCTGGCGTAACCAGGAATGGTTCCTAATCCTGAAAGCGTGGCCGAAGCACAAGGCTGGATTTGGGCAGCACTGAAGTGGTCCTCCCGGTAACACCGCCACAGGCTCTTGTCCCTGCCCAGAAACTGCTCCTATTGTATGGGCGTCCTCAACAGTCCTAACACAGACCACACCCCCCTCCTTGTGAAGCACCTGGTGCCCAGCATCACGCCCTGGGGGCAGGGCTTCAGGGTCTATGCTGACCAGCCTTGGGGAAAGCAGGGAGCCCCTGATTTAGAAAGAGACCACCACATGTCTATGCATTACTGTGTAGGTCAGTTAGCTGTCCACCATGGCCCTGAACTCCTTTGCATCTTGTGCCTTCCCCAGATCAACTCTAAAAATTACTTGTTGGGGTCCATCGGGTATACGCAGGTCTGGAAAAAAAGACCCTTAAAGAGCCTTAGTTATGAAAAAATTGTGGCCAAGTAGTGCTGGGGAAAAAAGCACAGTTTGGCTGGAGGAGTGTCATGAATGTTCTAGGCAGAGGCCCCCCAAGGCTCAGAGAAAGGGTTGAGAGTATACTTTTATACAGTTTTTAGCTGATTAAGCTATGACTCAGGCAGATCTGAGTGTGCATCTTGCTCTGCCCCTTACTAGCTGTTTGACTCAGGCTAAGTTGCTTAACTTCTCTGAGTCTCAGCTTCCTTATGTGTAAGATAGGGATGATAATGAAATACTGGCACATAGTAAGTGCTCAAAGCATGTTAGAATAATACTTATTATTTTAAATATGTATGTTCGTCAATCTTAGAGGATTTGCCTGGTTAACGTGGAGACTTTGAGCCTTGATATAATCAGTGGTGAGGTTTGAAGATCCCTTTATCCTTCCAGACAACATGGTGTACAGCCAGTAACATTGGCATCACCTGGAACTTTCTTAGGGCTACAGAATCTCCGGCCTCACCCCAACCCTACTGAATCTGCGTTGTAATAAGATACCTAGATGCTTTGTGTGTGGATTTGAGAAGTGGGGAGCTGGGAACCAGGAGGTCTGGATTTAAGTCTCGTGTGGCTCCCCAACCAGCTAGCTATGTGACCTTGCTCAAGTCTTTTGGTCTCTCTGAGCCTTGGTTTTCTCACCAGTGAAATGAGAGGCTTTAGTAGTTCCTGACCCTCCCTGCAACCCCACTTTCCTCTGACCCCAGTGTTGATCACCCTGAGGAGCCACAGAGAAAAGTCAGGTGGCGCCTCCCAGAGAGGAGGGTGCTCTTTTCTCTAAAGAAGGTGAGAGGAGTCACAGCCTGAATGGGCCTGCAGTGACCCAGCTCATGGCCTTGACTCTTTGCTGTAGTATGCTTCTCTGCTGGCCTGCACTCCCATAGGGAGAGGCCAGCGCTCTTGACTTGTTTCAGAGCTGGTTAGCCTTCACATTCATCTTAAAGTGACCTTGTTTAGTGCTTTTGTCCTAATTTAATGACTATTAAAAACTTCTTGAGATGAAAGCCAAGGTCACTCTTGGCTGCATGTGCAAAACTAGCTCAGCCAAAGGTTCCAGTCGATTATCGCTGCCAGGTGCACCTGCCCTGGGTCGGCCAATGGATGCCAGCTCCTGGCTGGGGAGCTGTGGTAGGATTGGGGGTCCCTAGAGCTCCCTGGCCAGTCCCACCCAAAGGGTGTTCTTTGGTTTGGGTGCAGAACCAGAGCCTTGCAGGCTGTAGTGAGCAGAGTACTAAAATAGCTCAGGGAAAACCCATGCTGTTGCCCCGGCACTGCCATTGACCAGCTTGTGACCTCGGGCAACTTGCTTTACCTCTCTGTGTGTTGGTGTCCTCCCTGGTGACATGAGAAAATGGGTGTACTGTTTTTCCACACTTTTTGTGATTTGTGAGCCACCAGAAGAAATGCATTTGACTTTGCAACTCGCATGCACTTCAATGTATGGGTAACTGAACATTTCCTGAAACAGAGCTCACACTTACTACATGTGATGTACTCTGATGTCCTCTATTAGAGCCTCTTGTATTCTCTTGTCTTCTGTTAAAGAAACCAAAAAGGTTGGTCCCATCGTGCTTCTGGGTTGTGATGGAACCAGATGATCTATACGGACTCTTGCAACTCAGCAGTCAAAGAGGAAACAGGAAGTCCCAATAACGTATAGACTATTTAAATGGGAGGCTTGACGAATAGCCCAGGGTAAGGTTAAGTGACTCTGAGACATCTTTGAGGAGATGAGTTTAGAGGTTTGGGGTCTGTGTGTGAGAGTGGCACGTCCAGGCATCATTGAGGGGGTAGAATGGAAGCTCTTGGAATGGCTTGATTCAGGTTGGATCCTAGGGGATCCTGAGAACTGTCTGAACTCCTCCCAGCCTCCTCCATGTCTGGTTTTTCAGTGCAGGGAATAACATGTCGACTCCACCTGGCCAACAAGTGCCTGTCCCAGACATGGCTCCAGTCATCGCCACAGTGCATCCAGCCCAGGTTAGGCACCCGGCACACAGGGCTCTCTTCCTCGTAGCTCGCCTGTGACAAGCACTTACTCTGTGCCAGGTTCTGAGTTAGGCAAATAGAACACAGAGTCCTCATCTTTGAGGAGTTTATGATCACACTGAGAGGGTCAAGCATATACGCATAAGAATTCTGCCACAAATCCAACCAGAGAATTCTTGTACCGTTGAAACGCTAGACAGCGTTGACATAGGCAGCAGAGGCTTCTTGCTTCCTCCTCTTGTTCCAAACCACACACCTTGTTTCTCTTTTCTATGGACCCCAGAGAACATGGGACTGACTAGTGTGTGTGTGTGGAGGGGGGAGGGGGTCCTGTTCCAGCTCCCCAGGCTGGGTCAGGTCCCTCAGAGATTCAGTTCTGCTGCAGTGAGTGAAGCAGGTCCACTCTGGCTTCTGTGAAAGAGGGCTATGCAGCTGGCCTGAGCGCCTAGGAAAGCTCCCAAGAGCTGGTGTCTGGAGACCAGGGGCCCTCTTTACCTCACTGCCCTGGATTGTTTCTTCAACCTGCGTATTGGAAATAGGGGAAAAAGGCAAGTCTGGGAGTACTCCGTCTCCCACCCCCTTGTCCCTAGGGGTGGAGTTTGAGTCAGAATCTTTGGTACAGTGTTCACCTCGGTTGCATGTCCACTGGGAAGTAGCCACAGCCCAGGGGGCAAGCAGGGGACAAGGTTAAATGCAAGAAGCTGGGGCCAAAGCCCAGTTCTCCTGTTGAGCTTCAGAACCTACAGGAGCCTCCATGTCTCTCCCAGGAAGTGGAGGCCACACTGTAACAGAGTCGCGGTCCTTGGGTCCACTGTGGAGAAGAAGTTCAGAGAACTTCATGTTTAGCGTGATTAATACAGTTTAGACTTAGAAAGAGCTTCTGGCTATTGGAATTTGACATCCTTTGCCATGGAAAACATCTCCCCAATCACCTTTTCCTGGGGGAAAAAAAGGCTGTCTAAAGGCAGCAGTAGATTCTTTTTTTTTCCACCTTTTTAAAATGTTTATTCATTATTTTTTAAATAGTTTATTGTCAAGTTGGTTTCCATATAACACCCAGTGCTCATCCCCACAAGTGCCCTCCTCCATGCCCATCACCCACCTACTCCTCCCCCCCCACCCATCTGTCCTCAGTTTGTTCTCGGCATTCAAGAGTCTCTCATGGTTTGCCTCCCTCCCTCTTCCCCCCGTTTTCCCCCTTCTTCTCCCCCACAGTCCTCCATTAAGTTCCTCCTAATCCTCCTATACATGCAAACATATGATAGCTGTCCTTCTCTGCCTGACTTATTTCACTCAGCATAACACCCTCAAGGTCCATCCATGTTGCTACACATGGCCAGATTTCATTCTTCCTCATTGCCATGTAGTATTCCATCGTATAGATAAACCACATCTTCTTGATCCATTCGTCCATTGATGGACACGTAGGCTCTTTCCATGTTTTGGCTATTGTTGAGAGTGCTGCTATGAACATTGGGGTACATGTGCCCCTATGCGTCAGCACTCCTGTATCCCTTGGGTAAATTCCTAGTGGTGCTATTGCTGGGTCATAGGGGAGTTCTCTTGTTCATTATTTGAGGAACCTCCACACTGTTTTCCAGAGGGGCTGCACCAG